CGTGCGGCACCGTTGGTGTGAACCCTGACTGCTCGCGTTGCACGGGTGCGAGGCTGGGATGGGTGCCGTTCCTCTTCCTTCAGAGGCCGAGGAGGAGAAATAAGTTAAAAGGGAGATGTGTTGCAAAGCAGTTTGAAGAGGAAAATGAGGTGACAAGGTTTGCAAACCTCAACTTTTTAAAAGGTCAAAAATAAGTATTTTGTGCTGCAGTCAGCTGTCTGCCTAAATGCTGACTTCTTGTGCTTGCTGGATGTGACATCATTTCACTGAGAGTTCCCCATAAGCAGATAAGGCATCTGTAATAGCTCTGAAAATTTGGATTGTAGCTAAACAAGAGGATTTAAGTGGCAGGTTATTACGTACCCAGTCAAAACAGTGGGAGAGTTGTGCGGTACAAACAGCCCCAATTAGGAAGACTAAGCCTGGGGGAGAATCTTCATCTTGCTTTAAAACCTGCTCTTGTATATAAAATTGAGGAAGTACTTTGAAGATTGTGTGAGGTTATCCTACAGACGCCTGTTAAACAGTGTTGGCACAAAGTTTTAATCCACAGCTGCAACTTTTAAGGTCGAACAGCTTATTTCTCACATTGCTGCTTGGTGTTTATTCTTAATCGAAGCACCACTTCAGAGGACGATAACATATACCATGCTCAAGCTGTAACGGCAAGTAAGACTTTCCATCTGCCAATACCATCATAATCTTCATTCCAATTGCACCTTTCATTTAATTTAAGTATTATTCACAAAAAATGCCACAAGTAAATAAAGTCATCTAGAGGAATATATGCAGCTTAAATTAAGGCTCTAATTTAATTCAAGTCGTGGATCTCCTAATTTCCCCGCAGGGTGTCTGAATTCAGTTGCCATATCTCTGGGTGCTGCCAGGTCTTTGATACGCTGGAGGGCTACGAGCACCACTACAACACGCTGCACAGGAATGTCTGCTCCTTCTGCAAGCGCTCCTTTCCATCGGGGCATCTCTTGGATATTCACATCTTGGAGTGGCATGACTCGCTCTTCCAGATAATGGCCGAGAAGCAAAACATGGTGAGTCGCCGTGCCCAGCCCTTTGCTGGTGGTTGGTGTGCACGGCATGGGCTGGCATCCTTGGAGACTGACAGTTCAAGGAGGGCACCCATGTCCCCAGCTGATACCGCTTGCCTTTTCCAATGATGTCTTCCCCTCCCTTCCTTCCCCCACCCCCCCACCGCTTTTCAGTACAAGTGTTTGGTAGAAGGCTGTGCGGAGAAGTTCAAGAGCAGCAAGGACAGAAAGGATCACTTGGTCACCGTTCACCTTTATCCTGCTGATTTTCGGTTTGATAGACCAAAGAAAGTGAAAAGGTAACTGCAAGAATTGCAATAGCACAACTGGTTTTCCACTGTAGAGGTGGTGTTGTGCTTCTCTGCTGTTTCACTCCCTTTCCAGAGTAAGCAAGTTATATCCTAAGAGGCTCAGAAATGATGTTTGCTGCTGCTTGTAAAAACAGGCAAGCTTTGCAAGTCTTCCTCTGGCAAAGTGGTACTTTATCTTAATGTTGAAGCGCGGCTCATGTCTCCGCCCGTGTGGCTCCAGGCTCTGCTCCCTTCGTGCCATCTCAAGTGTAAACACAAAGCCCAGCATCTCTCTGCGTCGCTTTGTGCACGTTTCCTGGTTTGCTCTCCAACCCTTTGCAACATTCCCTTTCCCCAAAAGCACAAGTAGAGCAGAGGGAGGCTTTTTGAGTTTGGCGAACGGCTTTCTCAGCTGGCCGCTCATTTCAAGCACTGCTTTCACCACAGGAATGAATACAAGGACTGATGTTTAACACCTTCCTCAGAGACCTGGGTGATGGGATGGAGAGAAAATTTCTTGCCTGGCAGGGTGGTGTGGCCCTGGGATGGGTGTCCAGAGGGACCGGGGACTGGGTCTGTCGAGTCTTTCAAAGCTTGCTTGAGTGGCCTGGTGTGAACCCTGTGAACCTTCTAGTCCAACCCTCTGAGCCCGTTGAATGAGTTACGCTTTATGGGCTGAAGAAAAGAACTTGCGGACAAAGCTGTGTGCTATAATGCAGCCACCCTGAATACCTAAGTAGAAACTCATACAAGCCTATCATGCAGCTCTCCAGCAGCCTTTTGGCTGCTCCTGGTGGTTTGCGCAGCCAAATCTCTGTGCCTCCATGCAGTAACTCACCAGGTTGGACTTGACCTGTTGCGTTATGAAATATCTTTCATTTCCTTTGCTCTGTGCTTATGTGGCAGCTGCTGAGAAAGGATGTAAAATGTTCTCTCTGCAGCGGCCCCAAGCACGCGAGCTCTCCCACAAAGCAGGGTGCCAGTGTGCCGATGGATGTGAGCATGGAGATGTCGGAGCAATTCCAAGTGGACCCCATGGAAACAGGGCCCAGTGAGAACATGGAGATCCCTCAGCCTGCAGCCAGACCCGGCCCCTCAGTGCCAGAGAAACGATTCTATAAATCCAGGTCTGTACTGTTGGCCTCCACGGCCAAAAATTTCTGGGGCTGGGACCGTACCATCTTAATTGCATTTTGCAGTGCCTAGGGCAGCACGGCTCAGGGTGGTTTTGTGTTGAAGATAAAACAGGTAGGATTTCCATGTACGTTTTTAAAAGAGGAAAGCGTAAGGAAGGACAGAGCGCGCGTACGCTGTGAAAGCCATGTCAATAAGTTTCTTTTAGTCTGCTCGCCCATGATCTCTTCCCAGGGTATTGCAGAATGGCGTGGGTCTGAAGATAAGAAACTGTCCTAAAACACTCAAACAAGTTTCGTTCCTGCTTTGTAACACTTTCCCATCCTAGCTGACTCGGGGCTGAGCTGGTGCGTTTCACTGTCAGTGCTCCTATGCAGTCGCAGGACAAGGCACAAATAAAGCAGGTGAACATCCTGCTCTGAATCTTAGGTTTTGCAAGGCCAGAGCAGCATTGCTGGTTTTTCTGTTTTGTTGTTTTTTTTTTTTTAAAGTAAAATCTTTACAAAAAGTTGAAACTGAATTGCCTAATGCTGGCTTCACTTCTGAAATCCCCCTCATCGTGTGCTGTAAGACCTGTATGAGATACAAGGTAGCCATCAAAAGGTAACCACCGTCTTCCCAGCACCCGGATCTGTGTCATTTTATTCATCATTTTAATCGTCTCTCAGCACAAAGGTTATACGGTTTTGTCTGAACTATTCCAGTTCGCAAAGGGATTCTTGTGTTTTGAGTTTGCCGCATCTGTGACACGCTGGCAGTCAGTCTGGAAGCAACACGATGAGCCCACGACTGCACTGGAGCACCGCGCAGGGAAACCCGCTCCTGTCCTCAGCTCCCTCTCGCTTTCGCTGGCATCAGCGTTTTGCTCTGCCTCTGTAAGATGAGGTCTCACCTCGCGGCGCTGATTCAGGGCTTTCTAGGGAGTTTTGGAGTCTGAAAGCGCTCACGACGCACTACAGCCACTTGGGTCTGCTTTTGTACGTCATGGTTTGCCTGACAAAATCCTGTCCCTAAGCAGCTGACTTTTTAAACTTCACTGCTTTGACCAGCGTAAGAGCTTATAAACCAGAAAGAAACCGTCCCTTGAATTCAATGTGATGCTGCAGGTCAAAAGGAAAATTTGCTGCTGAAAGGCCACACTTTTACGGCTGCTTCTGCTCTCCTGCTCTTCACAATCAGGTCCTTCCACAACAAACCACTGCAACTGCCCAATGGCATGTTACATTTTGTAGCACCTTACACCTGGTTTTAAAGAGAGGAGAGGCCTCCAGAGCATAAATGAAATGTGCAGAATAAATGGGAAAGCAGACTAGTATTTCACCCATTATTGGGTGATTTAGATGTCCTGCTCCTCCGACACTTCACTCTTCCCACTCTGGGAGCTTGAAGTGCTACACAAGGCATAAAGCGTGCTGGCGATCCTGCGAGAGTTGGGCTGTTAATGTGTATTAAAGCATGTCTCCCTTTCCAGGATCCCATCCACAATTTGCTTTGGACAAGGTGCCACCCGAGGATTTAAAGGACCAAGGAAGAAAGTCTGAAGGTCAGATCTGTGCAAGGTGAGAAGGCGCTGGCTGCTGCCACCCGCAGACGTTAGCGATGGCACCGTGGCCGAGCAGGGATATTTGCAGTTGTGCGCCAGGGTCCCGCTCCACACAGGGAAGGCAGAAGAGCGAAAACAGGGATTGTGCGGCAGCAGTTTGGGATACATCGATTCCTTGGGAGGGGCTTTGCTACAGTCCCTTCGTGTCTCTGTAACACCTCCCTTTGCCAGCATTTCAGAGCGGACTCATGCTTGTGTTTACCCTTCCTGAGACACGACACTCTCTTTTCTGATCCCCTCTGAAATCAAACTACAGATAAATTTGTCTGCCTCTGTGCTGTGAGTTTTTCTATCTCATCAGTGCCAGGACCGCTCCGGGCAGCAGTGGCTTTCTAGATAGACGGTTGCATCTTGCCTGAGCTTGGAAATGGCAAATGCTGTTCTGAAACTCCAGGCAGCTGTGGGGATTGCACAGGCTTTCTGAAAAACTTGCAAGGAATCGCTGCCAAAAATGCAGCAGGGATAGCACCGAGCAAAATACGCCGTGTTCCCTCTTCCCGTAGGAAGCCCTGCATCCCCCCAGCCTCCTCAGCTGGCCTGGGGGCAGGGTGTCACGCTTCCCTGCCAGCCCTGCTTGCACAGGAGAGAATCAAAGTAAAATCCAGAGGTGTAGATTACAACGATTAATTTAATTCTTTTCATTTCATTTTTTTATCTTCTCACAGTGTTTTTAAAAGCTCCCAGCGAGGACAGCCCTTGGGACAGCACGCAGACATGGGGCGGGTTGAACTCTGCGTCAGTTGCTCGCAGAAAGAGTCTCGGACTGTGGTGGAGCACTGCGACGTGGAGGTGAGAGGAGATCAGCTGCTGGCGCTGAGACTACACAGGATTGGTTTTTTGATATTTTTGCCTTTTGGGGGAAAAAAAAGATTCAAGAAATTCCAAGATGAAATCTGCTGACTGTACGGAAGCTGGAACCACTGACAAAAAGAAAATGGAAAAAAAAAGCGTTGGTCTCTGATTCTGGCCTTCTTCATCTCGCTGAAGTCTGCTCCGCTCCCCGGCGCTTGCTTTGAAACCCATGCGAAAGGTTTGCCTGGGCCAGGAAAAGCATTCTGGTGCCTTGCAGCTCATTTCCACGGGGAGTTAAAATAAAGTGACTTCCAACTAGGTGAATAAATAAAAGGGTTTTTTACAAAATTGCTTCGTAGAAAATTTGAATGCTGTTCTGAAGCCCAGGCAGAGTCAGAGGTGCAGAATGAACCTCCCTTTGCTCCAAATACCCCCCAAATCAGGTTGAGATGGAGGTTATTTTTCTCCTGCATCTTTCCCTTACTTTTTAGTCTCATTCTGCCAAGAGAAAAGATGGAAACACAGAGCCAGGCTCAGCGTGCTGCCGCCACGTCTTGGGGTCCTGTTGAACTGTGACGCTTACAAAATTGTCCATAAAGGGAAAAAAAGAGGTTGCTGGAACGGCATTTATCCAAGAAGCTTAGGATCTATAATTGCTTTTTTTCCCTCCCTCATCTCTGGGAGGAAGAAAGGCTAAAAAGGGCTTTGAAAAATCCTTGCAACTAGGAGCAGGGAGTGATGCTTACAGAGACGTAGATTTCCTTGCAAGTTTTAAAATGCTTTGCTCTGTTTGAAACTCAGCTGGCTTGTCCATTGCTAATCCTTGCTCCTCGGCCTCCAGAGAGAGCTGTCTCCGGCAGGCAAACCCTCCGGCCAGGATCGCTGCCAGAGGAGAGAGCAGGCAGCCCCGGGAGAGACTGTCCGGCAGCGCTGGGCACAGCGGGCGCTGGGGAGGGTCTGCTGCCAGGCCAGAGGGGCAGGAGGAGGCGCGGAGGAAGGGAGCCAGGGATGGAGGGATGGTGGAGGGAGGGAGCCAGGGATGGAGGGATGAGGGAGGAAGGGAGCCAGGGATGGAGGGATGAGGGAGGAAGGGAGCCAGGGATGGAGGGATGAGGGAGGAAGGGAGCCAGGGATGGAGGGATGAGGGAGGAAGGAGGGAGTGAGCGGAGGATGGAGAGATGAGGGAGAGCGGGAGCGGAGGATGGAGGGATGATGGAGGGAGGGAGCAAAGGATGGAGGAATGAGGGAGGGACAGAGCGAAGGATGGAGGGAGGGAGCAAAGGAGGGAGGGAGTGAAGGATGGAGGGATGATGGAGCGAAGGAGGGAGGGAGGGAGCACATGATGGAGGGATGATGGAGGAAGGGAGCAAAGGATGGAGGGAGGGAGTGAAGGATGGAGGGATGATGGAGGGAGGGAGTGAATAATGGAGGGAGGGAGCGAAGGAGGAAGGGAGGGAGGATGGAGAGAAGTCCAAGTGGGGAAGAGGAGAGAGGGGAGCAGTCGCCCAGGGCATGGAGCCGCCCGTGGAGCTGCCCCGTACCCATACCCCTGTGCACACACCCAGTAACTGCAGTCCCGTGCACACACACCCCACGCACCCCTCCACAGCTCTGCACGCACACACACTCCAGGCACAGCCCCACACCTCCCTCTGTGCACAGCCCTCACCCCAGCAGGCTGCTGGTCCCCCGGAGACCAGGGAAGACCAGGCTCTGTCATCACCTTTGTGGCCACCACCCTGGTGCTCCTGCCCCTTGTCTGCCCAGGGACGTCTATCAGCAGGTGCCAGCAATGACCAAAAATCACTTTCCAACACTGGAAGCCCCTAATGAGGCTTTTTTTTTCCCCCACTGGAATAACTGGAAATTTGAAGCAGGCACTGTGTCGCTGGAGATACCTGCAGGCTTTAGCACGTGATGGTACAAATATCATGCAGAAGCAGCCCAATCTGCTCTCCCTTACGTGTTTAGATCCTAAGTTTCCATCTGGAAATTCCTTCCTTCCTTTTTCCCAGACTCCAGGTCTCTGAGTGTCTGCCTTTGCTATTAAAAAATAAATAAAAATTGCAATTACAGTCTCAGGGCTCATGACTAACTCCCTTCTGGGTTGCCAACTTTTCCCAGAGTCCGCGGGCAAATCTTTCCCAGCTGGCTAGTGGCTTTCAGAAATCCTTATTTCAAGCCAAAACTTGAATTTCCCTTTTTTTTTTAATCTTGTGGGATTTGTCGTAAGCAAAATTTTCCAGCCCCTTGCTTGTTTGTGCAGGGAGGAGCAGGTGGAGTTACCCAGCAGTGGCCATCAGAAGGACAGACACAGGTCGGAAGTACACGTATGCGCACACCGGCAGAGAACCACGTGCAAGCAAACGCAAGCACAGAGAGGGTCCCAGGTAGCACACGTGCACACACACCTGCATGATCCACATACGTGTACAAGCGTGCACAGCAGGTGCACACACACAGAGCATGCACATGCACTTGCAGGCAAGCACATACATGTGCACACGAGCATGATACGTGTGTAGGGCATATACCTGCACACGGATGCGTGCAAACATGGGGCAGACAACACAAGTACAGCAAACGCATAGAAAAGCACGGTACACACCCGCACACGTGTGTGTGCACGCGCACAGCCCACGGGCATGTGTACGTACAGCGAATGCGCACAGGGTGTGCATGCACATGTAGACGTGCAATGCAGATGGCACATGCCTGCACGCGCATGGGGCACACGTATGGCGTGCACGCATACAGCCTGCACACAACATGCAAACGTGGGCAACAAAGCGTGCACTTGCAGGCACAGACAAGGATGCAGAGAGATTGCATGCGCGTACGCAGAGATCAGCTGCACGCATACGCACGGAGCGCCCAAGCATGGCCACCCCTGCACCCTTCCCCAGGCAATCAACGCTCACCCCTCTTTGAGCGCAGAGCACCCCAACCACCCTGCGGCCGAGCAAGGCTGACAGGGATGAAGCGTGCAAGCCGGGCTGGCCTTCAGTTTATTTTACTTAAGCATACTTTGGTATGAACAATAATACCAAAGTCTCCAGTAAAACTCCACCCCCTCATCACATTACAGTGTATAATGTGAATTAACATATAGCAAAATGAATACACTTTCATAGTATAAAATTGATATAGCTAGGAAAGGGAATTTTTATAAGGCATTCAGCATGTCCCCAGCTCCTCCCTTGTGCAGGTCTGTAAGCACAGCTCGGCTCAGGTCCTCCAGCATCTGGATGGCAGAGCTGCTGCCTGGAGCTTGCCTTCACCCGGCCCCGTGTGAAAACAGGGTCCCCTAGGTGAAATGGGGTGCAACCCATCACAGCAGGGTTGGGGCGGTGGGACAGAGGCTTTGGACTCCCACACACCTCCAAAGCTTATCTCCTAGGAGAAAAAATGCATTGGCAAATGTTTTCGGGACTGAAAGCCCCAAAATCACACATTTTCCTCCTATTGTAGGAAAGATGAAGGCGCCCATGTGATGGAGATGGGTCCCATCATGCTGGACATGGGGGACAAGCAAGGGGAAGGGTTGCAGCCAACCGGGGGGGAGCGCTCAATGCCACAAGAGCAAGACATGGGCACCTGAACCACCAGAGAAGCCAAAAGAGGTCCTCCCTGCAGCACTCCCAACAGAGCAAGAGGCAGCAGCTCCATGCCAGAGGCCACCACCTTGCTGGGACATCTCCCGGCACTCCCCATCCTCACGGAAGCTGCTGGGGCTTTTGGGGTGCAGAGATTGTCTGCTGGCAAGAGGACACAGACCTGCCCACCCATTTTGAGGTTGCAAGGGTTTTCCAAGCTTTGCAATGCAAGCAGGAGAACTTCCAGCCTCAGGAGTATGGTCTAACATCACCGAGCTGCTGGGAAGCCATGGGAGAGGTTCGATCAGCCTGGGGCGTTGGAGAAGTCCCAGAGCTGGCAGGGGAGCAGGCAGTGGAGCGGGGCAGCCATGGTGCTGGATGAGACTCCTCTCCTTTTGCTGGGTTTCTAGAAGCTGACCTCGTTTGGCTTCGTCACTGCTGAGCCAACGCCTGTGCCCTGGTAGCCTCCTGGGAGACGTCTGCCTGTACCGGCAGGCAGGAGGCATTGTTTGCCTCTTCAACCTCTTGCCTGCCTTGCCTGGACCACCTT